CGCGATCAGATGAGAAACTTTACTGTATGCTTCGAAGTATTAATTATCTCGTTGCTTTTGCTAGTGTCAGCACATGCGCTCCAACAATGTTGCCCATCAGATACCTTGTTCAAGGTTCGGTTGACGTAGGAATTTGTCATTTGAATCCTGATCGAAATTACGCCTTATGCGCAACTATATATTTGTTACGACTTTAAGGTTGAACGTTCGCCAAAGGAGACAATGAATCAGTGGAAGTTGAAAGTGCGCTACAAGCTTATCGAGAAAATTATTGCTACCTTGAAGAAGGTCAATGTAATCGCCTGCTCATACAAATTCATGTATGAACTATACATCTCTGAAACTGAAGCTCTTCTCTTGTCTGGGAATAACATTACACCCAAGGTCTTGATGAATTTGAAACACAGGTGAAGCACCCGATCTTCTATCAAACATGACACATGATGGACGTTAAAACATTCCGCGGATAGATAATCAAGTTGCGCCATTTATGTATGCCGTAATGGCGTGCTGCCCACACACGAAGAGCTAGATAAGGGTTTGCATATTTTTAGCAGGGGTGGTAGGGCACTCGCTGCGCATCATGACAACAACATTGACGCTATGTCATATCCTTTGTATTTTCCCAAAGGTGAGCAAAGTTTTGTGCGCGATAGTCTCCTAAACGCAACGTATTGACTTACTTTCAGTGAAGATGGTTGTAACGCAGAGAGCACTGTTCGTCCTACGAATTTCTTCTGATGATGACGGCGAGGATGGCCTTCGACCGCAAAGTTCCTTTTAAGAGGCGATTTTTATCGTTTTTTGCTTTATTGGCGATGTCAATGCACATCGTTTTCTTGGTAGTGGCAAGCTTTTGTCGCAGTTTGTGATACACATTTTTATTAGGATAAAAGCTGATCGCCTATCAGCAATTGGTCAATAATACTACGGAGTTGTGGAGCTCTAAAGCTACTTCGCTACACGCATACTTTGATCAAAAACTGCAAAAAAGGATTTGAGCTGGGCAGGCTCGTTAGCTTACCACAAAATTTTGTCGGTAGCAGGCTATGATACGACCAGTTGTATCACAATGCAATGGCCGC